TCGCTGTTTGTAAACAGCAGGTCTAGCGGGGCCTTACCCCTGGTAGGTTCATTTACCAGTTGATGAAGGAAATTGTCCTCTATACACTCCAGGAACCTCTTAGACTGCCTCTTCTCTGCAGTATTGAGCTCCCAGCAGATATCCGGCAGGTTAAAGTCACCCACAAGGACAAGGGCTGACGATTTCGAGACATCCGCCAGCTGCTTGTAGAATAATTCATCCCCTTCGTCATCCTGGTAGGGAGGTCTGTAACAGACACCTATGATGATGTTGGCCTTGTTGGTCATCCCCCTGATTCTGGTCTACAGGCACTCAACCTTATCGTTGCTTACCTCTGCTGAATAAAGCAGAGTCTTTCATTTTCAGAAGCCAAATATTATCAGGTTGGATTCTTTTCCTCTTTAGAGATCCCCTGAGATCAGTGGATGGGGAATTCTTTGGCTTCGACCTTCTCCCATAAACTTGCCTGAACTTTGCAACACAGCCCCTGACTTTGAGCCAGTGGCTTGGCACATTTCAGCAAGATGCCTCCTGTCCCAGCAAGCTGCTGAGGCAGGGCTGCCATCTCACCAGATAAATTTACACTCTCAAAGTGCACTTCAGTCCATCTATTGCCAAGTAAGAAGACTGGGTAGAAGTGGCCCTCAGGTACTCAGCACCTTGCCAAACCAATCTCTAACATTTCTGGTGGCATTTATAAATCAGATCTGTTTGGGCAATTGGGGCCCAACCTCAGCCATGGGAACTCAGAAGGTTCTCCTGTACCTACTGAGGTGCAGCCAGCAGCAGCTCCCCTCATCTCCCCTGTCAGCCTGAAATATTGCAGAACTGCTCTTACACTTTATTCTCCTCTGCTGTTTACCTAAATTCATCCCTGCCCCCATTTAAACCCATTACTTTGTTGTTCAGTACTCTCTGATAGATGAGGGTAATGAATCCCTGCCATCTCTACCATATCTTCCCATGTTTTTGACAAATAGGCCTCCAATGGGATTTTCTGCAGCTTGAAAACACCCTATGTCATCTTTCTTTAGGAAAAAGCAGCTAAAACAACCAAACACTGGGTCATTACTCACCCACCAAAGCCCACTGAATTCACCCCATGTTTTGGTGTCTGCCTGAGAGTATCACAAGGCTAGACTCTTCTTGTAGAAGGAGACCCGCTCAGTCTCTCAAAGCATGTGTGTGTGTGGAGGCCCACAGATTCTCCTGGCTCCATATAAATCAGAAGTTGTGTCATTACAATTTAATTTGTTCAACACCAGTATACGAGAAAGGACTAAAACCTGACACTTGCATCTGCTATAGGCCAGGTTTTTGGTGGATGCAGCTTCCTGGGTCATTTCACAAGGGCTTTCCAGCCACCCACAGTTTCAGTCACCATGTCCCCAAAGCCCCTCTTCATGCACGGAACCCCAGCCCTGGGCTGGCTGCAGCAGGGCAGTCCCACCACACACAGTGCTCCTGCTACAGCACTCTGCCAGCTTCTTGGGGATGGGGCAAATACACGGATGTGGGGTTGCAGCCACCTTGCACCCTTGTCCAAGTGCACCTTCACAGGATAATGTCAATGCCATGCTACACGTGTTGCACTCCTACAGACATCCCTCACCTGCAGCCCAAGCCCTGCCTTCCTGGAGAAACGCTGCCTTCAATCTAACTAGGAGCTTCTTTGAATCTTCTTTGAAGAGCAAGATTTGTCCCCAAATTCAGCCAGTTCCTCCTTTCACAAAGTACATAAAGTTTGCTTCCATCAGTCCTACCACACAGATGAACTTTTGTTCATCTCTAGTAATTACTGGGAAGACACCTTCCATGCTGGCCAGGTTAGATATCTTTCAGCAGTGGTACAGGGAGCTTCAAACCAACACAGAATAAGATAATAAAAGAACTGAGTCCTCCTCTGTTGACGTAGTTTGTGGCAACAAGGATCTGAGCTTAACTGCCCCCTCAGAAACATCAATCCGATGCCTATGAAATGCAGAGATGCTGCAGAAAATATTCTACACCTTTTTTAGCCTTCTGAGGACCTTTGGTACTGACAAAATAACTTTTGCAAAAGGAAGACTGACTAGTGCTTTGCACGTATTTAAACAAATATGGCTCCTGCACGTGAGCACAGTTTTTAAACCTGTGTGACTCTGCTTTTGCTGGACAGCACAAACCTAACCCCTTTAAACTGAGTTTGGAAGATGACCTCCTTTTACAAGGTCATTCAATTCCCTCAGCCTTTACACCAGCTTCAAAGCACGAGGTTTCAGTGAACAGCTGCATTTCTCCAGCCCAGAAATTCCTGATGCTTGCTGAATTTTTGAGGATAAAATAGTGAAAATCATTTTCTCCTCTTCTCCTTGGAGAGAGAATTCCCCATATCCTTTACCCACGTGGCATGTGTATAAATATAATCTCCTTTCTCTTCTGGCAGCAATTCAAATCATGGGTTTTATTCTCCACCCCACCCAGATGGCAGTTACAGAATCGGGGCAGGAGGGAAGAAGATCGGAGAGGAAACATGTGAAATTACACAAGCAAGATTTAAAGGGGAAGGATAGATAGGAAAAAATGTGCAGAAAACAGCTGTCTTCCTCCTAATTTGATCTTTTCAGAAATGAAGCTGCACAAGTGAGACCCACTAGGTGATGCATTTGATTGTAACTGGGTTGCAAAACAGGCTAATTTTTCTTACTGTAGTCACTGTTTTCGTCCTTGGTCCCATCAATTGTACCATCTGGGTGCATCTGCAGGAAGTATTCCTGCTGGCTGAATAACCTTGTCACAATTCCTTTCAGCTGGGGTTCTGCAAAATAATAATAATAATTATTATTAGATATACCAAACAGCACAAGGCCCCATTGGCTTTTCCCCCATTATGCCATGAGTAAATGCAGAAGTGTTTGGCAGCTAAGACAGCTTTCTGTGATTCCTTTCAAGCGTGGTTGTAAAATATTCATGTATGCACAGATGTATCGGCAAATAAAACTGAGATCAGATGTGCAGGTAAGATGCAATGCGTAGTCGGTGCAGCAGAAACAGAGTGTGGTACATCACGTCACAAAGTTACTTACCGAAAGGAAGTCTTTAGACAGTGTATGTATTCTGGATATGCCACTTATTCAGAAGACTATTTCCTAGCAATGTTGCAAAGAATACGCCCATTGTTTCTTATTCTGCCTGCGAAGCCGACTAACTTCCTTTCTGTAGGGTTGATTCACTATCATGAAGTCCTGGTTTTATGCCACTAAAAATCCATTTAAATCACTGGTATTATAGTGGTGTAAACCCAGAGTAACTGAGTGCCAAATCAGGTTGCATGAGTCCAACTGAGTAGGACTCCAGAAGCAAAATTCCAAAAGGAACAGATGCAAGACACCTCTAAAACCGACCTATGAAGAATTTTTGGGCACCTTAAAACACTCAGTTTTAAAATCCTGTGTCTCCCCCCTTCAAAAACGTGTGCACCACACCCTGGTAGACGAGAATCTTTGTCTCTAGCAGGGGCCTTTCCCAGACTCCGTGTAACATGAGTCAGCCATGTCCTGGCTAAGGGCTTCCCTATTACTTCTGCAACATCTTATACCTTCCGGCTGAAGAGAAGAAGAAAAACACAAAAAAAGCAGAAACAATTTAAACTTCACAAGATAGAGGTGTGCAGCTCCTTACCACCTGTCTCCCTGCCATCCTACCAGTCAAACACAAGTAGTCAAAAATAAATTCAACTGCAGTCATTCTAGTCTTAAAATTTGTCACAGGCGTTGCTGCTGGAAAGCAAGTGAGCTGGCTACACGTGAGCAGACACACACACTGGGATGACAGGGATACTCCTTGTGTGACAGGAGGTTGTGGTTTTATGTCACCACCCATAAAAGTAAATAAATAAGATCTAGTTATTGCTGGCTCAATGGACAGGAAAAAGTCAGTGTAGCATACCAAAATCTCCCCAGCCTCCTGCCTTTCATGCCTCCAGTGAGGCTGTTTAATAAGCCATAGTTGTTATATAACTGCGGTCACGTTGTGCGTTAAGGGTTTCCATCAGGAGCCCCCGTCTTGCTGTACAGCTCCCCTCGGAGGGAACCCTCAGCCTGCTCTCCTGCACTCACAAATCCTCCACAGCAGCGGGACCTCGGACGCTGACAGGCTGCAGGTGCAAAGGATTTCAGCTTAGAAAACTCCTCCATCAGCCGGGGGAGAGTCAGGTACTATTTCATAGTTACAAAAGCTATGAACTATTTCATAGTTATAAATCAGTGTCAGCAGGTTTCTATGCTGCCTTTAAAAAAGTGATTTCGGCGCAATGAGTGCTGTCGGCTGCAGGCAGGCTTTCTCCCAGCAAGACTCAACTCTGGGACAGTAAATAAGTACAATTGTACTGGCCATCTAATAAAAGCTAGCTGATCAAGCCAGTATATGTCAAATTAACACTTAGATTGAGCTGTTTTGCTCTCTTCTTACCTAAATGAATTATCTATTTTGTTGAATGCAGCAGCTTGATTTAACTTGCTTTTCATTAGAAAAGCACATCAAAGCTAGAGGATATGAAAAGCTGTATTCTCAGGCACAGATGATTGCACCACCCTCCTCAAGCCTGTCCCCTTTTTCTTTTATCTAATACCACAATAGTAAAGGCACTAATAGGCATTCTTTCTTATGAGACACCTACATCTGAGTCCCTGAATGAATCTTAGCCTAGATTTTACTCACTAGTTAAATTTTAATGTTTAAGTACTTTGCACAAAACGGAAGAGATCCCAGAAGGAGAGATTTAGAAGATGCTGCTGCATCTTTCCGATGTGCTGGGGAAGTGGAAGGATCTTGTCTTAAAGCCCCTCAAGTATAAGAGGAGTGGAGATATAAAATAACCCTGACCTTGTCTCTTTCCTTGGGAAGACAATTTAGCTACAGGATAGAAGGCCCTTCCTTTCCTCCTCCTTTGGAGTGCAAGCTATACTTCAACCATGCAAATCATTTTAGAACAACATGAAAATCTCTCCCACTTTTACTAAATAGCCTATCAAGTAAAACACTGACCAAATCTGCTCATTATTAGAAGTGTTATTTAATTTTTAGAGTTTATCAGAACAGCACTCAACCAAGACAGCCTGACAGCAGCAGAGCTCCTGTGTCTCCTCACTGCACAGATCCTCTTCTGCAGGAGCATCCCCTGCCAGACTCATTTAGGATGCCCTGTAGCACCAGCAGACAAATGCCTCTTCCAGACAGCAAAGGATCAGAAAGACTTCGGAGACATACAGATCTCTCCTTACCTGGTTTCTGCATTTCTTTAGGTCACTTCCCACAGGAGAGAAACACTGGTGAGCAGCTCCACTTTTGGGTACCCATCTGAACTAAACACAGAAGTGGTGCAGAGAGGTGCACAGCCAGCACTGAGTTCCCTGCTCTAACCCAAGGAGTTGCCTGGGCTGTGGGTGATTTGTCTCACATATGACAGGCAACTTTACACCTAAACCAGGCTCTCTTTGCATCCCAAAAAAACAACAGGCAAGTCAAGCCAGATCCATAGGGTACCAAAACCACCTGCATCTCTCCAGTGACTGCAAAGAGACCAGCTCAGACACAAACAGGTAGGCAGGTGACAACAGCTGGTAGAGTAGCTGCTTCCCACCAGGGAACCTCTTGTCATATGTCTGGGCATTAAGTGAGATACTGGGATTTGTCATTCATACAGCAAGCAGTGTGGCTGGGAGGCCTACAGACAAAATTTTAGGTGAAGGCAACTTGAACACAGAACAAGGATTTACCCATCTTTCTCACTCACTACGGAATTATTACCTGAACAGAGAACTGTATAATCACTGGAAAGGAATTTTCCTGCAAGCCCAGAGGCAAAACTCTGCACGTGACTTTTAAGAGAACTACTTTTGTCATATCATGCATTTTAACACCACTTCTTTCCATCTACAGAGCAATTTTATCACAGTCTTCCAGTATTGCTATCCCTTACGTTGCAGTAATGGTGCTGAAATCCTCAGTTTATAGAAAAAACTCAAAACCAGTAAGTCTCCTTGTCAGTTAGGGATGGTGGGACACCCAATAAGTCAGAACAGCACACAGAAAGGCAAGGAATAGACTTTTCAGTTTTGCAATAAAAAAAGAGAAGCACCCTTCCAAGCAGGCAATATTGATAGTGCTTATTTGACCAATGTGGTGGTGGGGAAACAAAATAACCCCCCACAACCTTGATACTTCTATTTGCCTAAAAATCCCTCAATGATACTGCTCCAGGCTATAATCAATAAGAGAAAAAAGCAAATCATTAAAAAATGAAAGAATGCAGCTCAGATAAGCAAAATCCCTTCCATGAGCATTTTTGTTCTATAATTCACAGAATTTACCACAAATCAAACTTAAACCTGCTCTCTAACCTCAGCCCTGTGTAGCAAGGGGGACTCAAATCCTCTTCTTTTTAAAGGAGCAATACTGCATAACACACTTGGGATAAACCTATTCTTCCCACTCAGGCTCCTCTGTACATGCTTCTATTTTGCTGTAGGAGCGGCTTTCCCTGCAGAAATGAAACTAAACTAATGTGGACAAGACTTCAACAGAAACTTAGTAACTCCCTAAACACAAAGTCAAATACTTCAAAATGGATTTAAGAAAGATTTATTGCTGCCTTGATCCCAAAGCACTGACTAAACAGAAGAGATTTCCACGCAGTTTGTACTCCCAGTGCAGGCTCTATGCTACTAGGTTTCCCATACAATGGGCAAAGAGATATTTTTACCCCTATTTTATAAGCAATATTGCTATACTTTAGGAGGCTTAATTTAAAGAGCCTGTTCTCATTGTTCATAGACAGCTGTTGAGGACTGGGGAGTGCTGCAGAAAACTCAGTGGACCCTCTCCTTTTGTAGATGCAGTAAGCTCAAATCCTTCAAATGTGTTGATTCCAGAAGATGCAAGGGAAGATCGTGCCCAGGAACTATGCACAAGGAACACAGTTACAGTGCAGAACAGAAAAATAACAGAGAATGCTCCTTCTTAGAGCAGCCATCCAGCAACAAACTCACTACCCATCCTCTGAAGGGCACCCTACTTGGTCCCTTTTCCACAGGCCAAATTCACCATTTCTGTCTGTCTTGCTTTTAACTTTCTGTGCCCTTTGACACAGCTGAGGCTAACTAAATCATGATCTGACTGCTAATCTTCTTGCCTCTACTTAAATGGTAATGTGATGCTGCCATTATTCACTTCAGCTGTTCTGTCGTTGAGCCTTGAAGTCATCTCAGTTCACCATGAGCTGCTGTGTTTCCTGCTTTATTGTGCAGCTACACAGTGATTGTTCCTCTCCTGGGGCTTGCCAAGGACATGACAGTTGCAGGGTGCTCACACGGACTTTGTTTGATCTCCAGGGACACGCTCACTAAAGGCCAGGGGATAACGTCCAAATCAGCTGCTCTGCAGTCACATCCCTCAAACTGCAGGCATTGCTGAAGGTATTTGCTGTCTGCTATGGGGAAAACAGCAAGAACATTGACAGAAATATCACTGACTCTTTATGACCTTTTATTTTAGTTCTCCTATTTAAGGTGAATAAGGAACTCACTCCCTTAACTGGAAAATGGAAACACGCAAGCTGAACAACTCCCCTTAATGCAGAGAGGAGCTATGAGGTTATGCAGCATTTATCAAATCCCCAGTGAGGGCACTAAATCTTGCTTATTCCCATCACCAGAGCAGTGGTACAAACCCGAGACAGAAGCACTACACTCTTACCACCACTGTAGGGTAGTTCAATTTGATCCAAACGCTGAGCTCTGGAGGCCCAAAGAATAGGGT